GAAGCCAGAATTGCCTGAAAAAACAGGAGCTCGGTCAACGTAACAACCGATCCACCACCGTCATGCTTTTAACAGCATAAGATCATAGACATTTATCATTAGAAGGCTAACAAACAAGAATTTTTAAAACTACCCTCTTGAATCAGGCTGTTCAGTAATATTTGTGGTAAGCTAATGAAAGAGGATTTACAATCCCAGCTCCATGCTTAATGCTTGGGAGAATGGATCTGATTCCACGGAGGGTATTTTACAGCTGAGGAGAAGATATCCAATTTGGGTTCTTTGACCCAGGGCTTAAAGTGATCTCAAAGAAATACGGAATCTGGCATTGCTCAGGATGGAATTTTATCCTCTTTTAGGGATCAGACAGCTCATTTAAATACATATCTAATGTCCCTTGTCAAGGCCTGACCCACTTTAGAGCTGCTTTAGAGGTCTCTGTTTCCTTGTCAGGGTGTGGAATCTGTCCAAAATATCCCGGAGGAGTGCGCTTTTCAGGGGCCTGCCCTATGACTGATGTTAACAGTTCTGAACTGTATTTCAAGGGAGGAAACAAAAATCAGACTTTGTGTGACAACAGTCAGGTGTTGGGTTGTGATAAGACAAGGGGACCCATGACTAGAGCTCTTCAAATCTCAGTGGTTTGTAAGAAGCAGGATGGAAAAAAAATCTGTGATATTCTAAACTTGACCCACAGTCCGAGCGCCGTAGTTCCAGAATAGCCAACTGTTAATATTGTTGCCTTTTTTGACGTGAGCAGCTAATCAAAGTTCGGGGCCCTGCGCGTTGTGCCAGTTGGGAGGAGAAATCGCATCAAAGAAAATACCAGATTCCATCGTCAATCTTGTTTATTTAACATGAGCGGCAGTGAAATAGTTAACAATGTGACCACTTGTGTTGTCAGTAAGTCTCAGAGTCAACGTCTCACTGAGGGGAATGGGGCACTTCCAGAGCTATCGTTTGTCCGTCATGCCGGAAGCACTGCTTCAGGTCACATTCAGAAGGTTTTCTTCACAACCAGGAGGGCTAGACACTCTGTTTTTATTTAAATTGGAGCTTAAATTCTGCAGAAGCTGAGCTGGACACCAGAAAAGTGCTGATGCAGTATCCCAGTCGGGGGATAGCAGGCAGACACTTTCATCCCTTCCCAGTCATGCTTTGATTATCAGGTTGGACCAAAGCCTCTATAGCAAAGCACAGCTCAGTTGAAACTGGCCAGTTTTACCCATTTCTCATCAAACCCTTAATTTGCTCACAACTGCTCAAAAATGTTGTGAACTTTTCAAAGAGTTTCCAGCTTATCACAAATCCCAAAATGAGTGGCCTTCGCTATGGTAGTGAGTGCCATTGGCAAATTTCTCTAGGCACTAACACTGACCTCATGGCATCTTTTGCAACACCATGTTCAAAATTGCTGGTGGGTGGACAACTCAGTCATAGTCCTGGTTAATAAGTCAATGATCTAAACTGGATGTTGTCTATTCGTTCTCTTAAGGCAACTTGTGCATTGAGCAATGGAAGTGCAGCTACCACAGTTGGGCATGCAGATTAGATAGTTGTGCATGCATATGTCTTTTTAGGCAGCTAAATGGTTACCGGCACATGCATATATCCACTATACAGCATGTGCAGTTGTGGTCCGTATATGGGCAAATGCAGTCAGGAGGATATGCACACATTTAACTGCAAGCAAATAGGGCCTCTGTGGTTTGAAAAAGGGTCCTTTCACATTGTACCTGTAGGTGACATTTGATTATCGCATCTTTAGGTAAGTTTGTAACTTGTCTCCAGATCTCAGCAATTCCCAAACCTTTCCAGTTATCCCGGATCTTTCCGCCTGCTGATGCCCTACTCTCTCTGTGCTCTTTATTATGGATTTAACATGTTTATTGCAGCACAGCCTCAACCAGGTCAGAGTCCATTGTGCTAGTCAATCGACAAAGAGATAGTAAATGACAGTCCTACAGAGTTACATTCTGAAAGACAAGCTCTTCTGCATCCATTGTCTAGCTGGCCGTTCGAGGTTCGGATGAGCTTTTAAAGCAAATTTTTGTTCTAATAACCTGTTGGCTGCAGCCTTACATCTCAAGCCAGGAAGTGCAACCAGTTGGCTGTATCTCCAGCTATGACAAAACACTCTGATGTTCCAGTGGAGTTCACTGGGGTGTCGGATAGAATGAGGGACTGCTGGACCGAGGGCAAAACAGTTAAGGTTTGGTTCATCGGTGATGGTAATAAATCATTTCTCTCTGATGAAATTCAGTTCCACATGCCCAGTGTTCCCATGTTAAGTACAACTATGGAGAGCACTTCAAAATACTTCATTCTGTCCTTAGTACTTAAGTACATCGTAAAGGTAGATAAAGCACAATTTTTTTTTGTCCACAGGTGCTTTTTTAAAATAGGTGTTTGAAACAATCACATCCCTCCTGGATTCTGGTTGGCCTCCAGCACCCATTGTCCTGGCTTGGGAGCTTCAGGTTCCAACTCTTGCACCAACCAGGAAGGGTGGCAGCCCACCCCTTTCACTTCTGATTGATCACTACAACCAGCAACGGGTAGACTCTCTCCCCGGCCCGGCCCAGTAGTGGTGGGGAGACTTGTTCGAAGTGTCTGGAGAAACCCCAAAGTATAAGGCCCCCTGTTTGGATACCTTTCTGCAGCAACAACTCTGTGATGGGTCAGTGTCCAAAGAAAAAACAGATAAGCAAATTCTTATAACAGATAAGCTAATTCTTATCATACAGGAGTTGGAAGTACTTGCACTTGTACTTTTACTTATAAATACATAAACGCTATTTCCACGGCATACTTGTACTTATAAGTACTTCTGCAATGGCGTGCTTGGCACTCGTACTGAAGTCATTTTAATCAGCACTTACGGCTACAAACCCACTGTGAAATGCAAGTGGCCAGGTCAAGTTCCAGGCTTTGGCACAACTTGACTTTGACTCTCATTCCACATTTCAGGAAAGATGTGGACAAATTGGAGAAAGTCCAGAGAAGAGCAACAAAAATGATTAAAGGTCTAGAAAACATGACCTATGAGGGAAGATTGAAAAAAATGGGTTTGTTTAGTCTGGAAAAGAAAAAACTGAGCGGGGACGTGATAACAGTTTTCAAGTACATAAAATGTTGTTACAAGGAAGAGGGAGAAAAATTGTTCTTCTTAACCTCTGAGGACAGGACAAGAAGCAATGGGCTTAAATTGCAGCAAGTGAGGTTTAGGTTGCACATTAGGAAAAACTTCCTAATTGTCAGAGTGGTTAAGCACTGGAATAAATTGCCTAGGAGGGAGGTGGAATCTCCATCATTGGAAATTTTTAAAAGCAGGTTAGAGAAACACCTGTCAGGGATGGTCTAGATAATACTTAGTCCTGCCATGAGTGCAGGGGACTTGATTAGGTGACCTCTCGAGGTCCCTTCCAGTCCTGTGATTCTATGTCTTTCATTCTCTGCTGTTGCATTTATGCTCATGAAAGTTCATGGGCTGGTGAACAGGGGTTGCTCCCAAGGGCATCTACCTGGGAGCTTCTCTCATCCTGATCTGATCTTGATCGTGGCCCAGACAGAGTGAATCAACAGGACCAAGAAAAAACGAACGATCTAGTGCTGGCCTGTCTCAGTGTTTATCTGTCTGCTGGAATGCTTGCAGGAGCCTGACAGCTGTTGTGCTTTTGTAATGGGTGAACCACTGCAACAACCAACAAAGTCTGATTTGGAGGTTCATGTGAATTACTTTTGTATAAAATCCTACTTTAAATTAAGTGTTTCAGACCAAGATTGAAATTTGAGTTACTGAATAATGTTACAATATGTCAGCTAAGCCTGTATGTTTGAGGTGTCATGGTTTCTATCCCCAGGTCAGTAGGATGTGCTAGTACAGTGTGTGGGGAATCTGTCTATATCTGTCCAAGCTAGCTAGCAAGGCATTTATACTGTGCCATTCTCTATGGTATCAGAGCAGCTGGATAGAGTCCGTATTTAGAATATTACTATTACTTACTTAGCACTTAGATTTCATACTTTATCTTCCAGATGATTTATGGAGATTAAGTAATTAATTATCACAATCCCCCTGCAAGGGAGTTGAGTATTTTTACTATCCTGATTTGACAAACCTCGTAACTGATGCACAGAGAGCGGAACTGACCTACCTAATGTCTCAGGAATGAGTAGACAGTTAGGATTAAAAGTCAAGAGTTCTGGTCACAGTTCACTGCTCTAACCACTAGACCACACTTCTGTTATATCCATGTCTGATGCTGGTTTGGTGGAGGTAGACAGATTCCAGCAACACACACCCGGTCCCAGACACAATATTAGTGCAAATGCTAATGATGAATACTTTGCATGGTTTTTCATCCATCAATATCAAAGCACTCTCCAAAGACGAGTACGTATCATTTATTCTCATTTTGCAGATGACATAACCGAGACACAGAAGTTAAGTCCTTCTCCTGCGATCACACAGCAAGTCAGTGACAGTCAGGAATAGAACCACGGTGTCTTGATTTCCAGACCCTGTGCTCCAGGCACTAGACACCCACTGCCCTTCTGCTGCTATGCATGTGACTAGATTTGAGTTACTCATACATGTGATGTCAGCACAGAACGTAGATTCCAGTTACACCCCCCATGCGCACATTTTCAGCTGAGTCATGACCAACAGCATGTATGATGGATCAAACCAAGAGGTGCATTGGTAAAGGGATATTGTTGTGCTGTACAGAATAAGCCATCCTGCAGCATGTAAGACCTGTTTGCTGACTGCTGAGATCAAACTGTGATCTGTTTAATTCAGGTGGAAGGCGGTCCGGCTGAGCAGAAGGACTTGTGCTCTGCCAGTCAGTAATTAAAAACCTTGATTTATCGTAGAATGCACGCTGACCAAGAGAGCTGTGTTCATGGGCCACTAAGCAGGCAGCTAGAGGGAGTGATGCTGAGCTGTTTACAGCTTCTCTCTAAAGTTTCTCTTGGTTTTTTTGCCTTCCCTCCAGGTCTAATAATACACGAAGGGCCCTCGGTTTACCGGATTTTCAAACGGTGGCAGGCGGTAAATCAGCAGTGGAAAGTGCTGAACTATGACAAAACAAAAGACATGGAGGACCAAAAAACAGGGACCAGGACAAACCTCCGAACCTCCTCCCAAACCAACCATTCGTCCTCCACCGGTGGTACAGCCAGCAACTCCGCTTCAGCCGACAACGGGGTCCGGGGCACTAGCCACGCCACCGGCACCCTGTCTGACCACCACTGTGCTTACACCATCTTGCATATACTCAGCCAGCTCAGGCCTCACGAACAGAGAAGCCAGTCTAGCACTAACAGAGAGCTCGTCATGAGGGTCACAACAGTCTGAGTGATGGAATTCAGGAGGCCTTAACGCGAAGTGAAGGAGACAAAGAACTCAAGAGCGGAGAAGCATGGTGTGCCTTTAATTTTTTGGGTAGCTGCACAAGGCGTATAAGCAGCGCTTGGCCAACTGAGGAAGAAGAAGGTGGAGGCAGAGCTGCACACACATGCTAAAGAGGTTAACGTTTTCCAGCCAGTCAATATTATTTAAAAAAAACCAACAAAACAAGTGCAATACGGACTAACAACTGACTAGGTGGAGGTTGGGGGAAGCAGGGGAACAGCCGGTATTAGCATGTCTTACAAGTTCTATTAGCTGGGATGGGTAATGTTCTGCAAACACACACACACACACACCCCACACTCACACACACACACAGTGTGGGATGGTTACAAACAGAAGGGGAATGACGGAAGCGACGTATTCGGAGGAGTTTTCAGATTGTGTTAAGCAGGGATCTGAGTCATCGCTTTGTTTCATAAATCATTCCGGAGCCCTGGATTACTCGCGATAGAGTATTGCCGCTGAAGTGGCTGGGGATTTTTCAGTTTTAATATTAAAAAAAAAACCGTCCATATTTCACCAAAACAAAAAATCGCCAAGGGGTTTGGAGAATGGTGTTGGGAGAGGGTTTGACAGACATTTTTTTTTGGCAAAGTTTGTACAAATGCGGTGTGGGAGTTTGAAGCACAAGCACTGGTCCAATGACCCCAAATCCCACATTCAAACCTTCCCGCTCACAAAAACCATCCTCCAGGCAGACTTTGAGAAAGGGGGTTGCTCTGGGTTAATTTCCTCTCATACCCCATCACCCCCAATTGATTACATTAGGCCAATCCCATCTCCACAGCTTTCTCCTGCATCTGTGATCAGACTCTCATAAGAGAGGGTTTTTTTAATCTTTATATCCCTGCTGCTCAATTTGCAAGAGAGTCTCACTCAATCTTATAGGTTAAGTCCTTGATATCCAGTTTGCTGAACGACTGAGTGGAAAAGACTAAATGATGAGCTAACAAAGACTTAGTCTGAAGAGGGAGCACAGTCCCTGAGTGAATATATTATGCTTTTAATAAGTCTCCTTCTCTAGGAGCTATCCATGAAAGTACCAATTGCTCTTCAGAAACATCCTCTTTCAATGCACAATGGCGGAATCATTTGTGGGTATTAAAGGGACACTGTCAAGTACTTTTTAAATAGTTTTTAGGGGCTTTTTTACTCGCCATCGTTTGTCATATTCTCTTAAAAGCTTGAAAATAAAAATTATTTCCCTACTGATTTTTGTCCTTTTCCATTTGGCACACACTGTTCTTCCCTGGCCAGGCCCTTGTCCTACTGTGCCCTCCCCCACCCTGTCCCTCTCCTCCCCGTCTACTGCAGCAGGAAGTCAAATGTATCTGGGCCCTGTTTACTTTTATGTGCCCCAGCATTGCTGACGGTGCTGCATCACAGCCCTGGAGAACAGAGCTGTTTTGTTAGCATAGCTGCTGCGGTAGAAGAGAAGAAACCATGGCAATGCGGAGTGTTAACTGGTTTTGGAGCAACGGCACAGCAAATCAAAAATAACTAACGCCACAGTGGTCAAACCTGGTGCCTGGAGTTAGCCACCAAAACCCATATGTAAGCAGATGAACGAAAGCAGCGTGATTTTCAGCTGCGCTGGGGGTCTCCTGTCTTAGGGGTTTATATTACCATCCTTCACCATGGTATCTGAGCGCCTCTTGCAGCTTCTGTTGGAGCCATGGGAGTTGATTCATGTGATTTCACTTTGATTCATGCCTCTACATATGGATTTAGCTGATGAACTCTGGGCGCCCAGGCCTGAAAGCAATTTAGCACTCAGAAGAGATAAGCATTTTAAGGAAGGTCACATTTTTGGGCCTCCATTGCTTGACAGTGTCCCTTTGAATATCAGAATGTACCAGAACAGGTGGCTTTATGGCAGATGACGTGTGGGTTCTGAAACCCCAGCTGAGTTGAGCTCTGCCCGGAGATAAGACTTAATCCCAAGACAGCTGATGAAATGAGGAGTCAGGCAAACAAACATGATTGCTGGGAGGCCAGTGTCCGTAGCGCTGACCTATCTCACTGTCTACCAAAGAGTGCTTTTGGTTGGGGTCAGGGCTGTTTTGATGACCTCTGAAAGGTGCTGTTGGGAGCTTGTCTCTTATGGGGCTACTCCTGTGGCAAAGTCTGGTTAAAGCAAGAGAACACAGCAGCCTTTTCATGCCCAGGGGCTTTTCCAAAGGGCAGTGTCCTTGTCACAAAAGATGGCCGCTTGTGATGCTCTGATGGGGTGGGGGTTGTCAGACATACTATTAAGTAGTGTCATCTGATCCCCTCCAACTCCCATTATGTAATAAGGAAAACCAAATTCCTTTCACTGGGGTTAGCAGGTTGGGAGTTTATAAGGTCAGAAGCACATCTCACCATGAAAGAGAGGCGTGGCCTGGTGGGCTGAGCACAGAATGGAGTCAGCTCACTCCAGCTCTGCCACCAACTCTCTCTGTAGCCTTGGGCAAGTCCCTTAATCTTTCTGGCTCAGTTCCCCATCTGCAAAATGGGGATGATAATACTTACCTACCTCACCGGGGTGTTATGAGACTCAGTGTTTGCAAAGCCCATTGACCTGATAAGGTAGTGTGTGTAAAATAGAGAGCAATGAGCTGGTTAGCAGGAATGGGCACCCACTGCCCTTTGCTGGACAAATTTCAAACTGCTCAGCTCGGTGTATCATAGCCCCTACACTGTTACCAGAGAGTCCCCTTTTTCTGCAGTGGTAGGGTGCTGTCTTATCCCACCCCCACTGTCGCATGACAGTCTGAGTGGCTGTACTGTGCAGCATAGGGACAACCACACGGTCCTACTTGGTCATGGATTTGTTACAACATTTTCTATACACGTGCTTTCCATGCAATGGGCTTAGAAATACATTTTCCAGTTACAACTGGCCTGTCTGGGTCTGTGCTGTTGAGTGGCCGCAGCCTCCCTCATGGGTGGAAAGTCCTCTTGTTTGGCTTACTGACGATGCTACGGAGCCCAGGTTCAGAGACGGTGACCTTCTGGTTTAAGAATCAAAGACCTGTTTCAGCTATTTAATAGCCAAACCAAATGAACAGAACTTGCAGGGTTTGCCAAGTTCATCAATGACTGGGCATCAGATACTATGGTGACAAGGAGCACTTAAGTACCTAGCATAATGACAGGTTTCAGAGTAGCAGCCGTGTTAGTCTGTATCCGCAAAAAGAACAGGAGTACTTGTGGCACCTTAGAGACTAACCTGTCTGGTCATTCAATGACAGACCTGCGGGTGGCTATATTACAACAGAAAAACTTCAAAAACAGACTCC